TTAAAGACCTATCAGTGAGGGGAGGAACCTTAACCCTGGAGTTTTGAATTAACAGAAAACAAAAAAGTACTGAACGTAAGCTAGCACATCAATCTGTGTAGCCCATTCAGCCTCCTCCTTTCAGAGGCTACGCAGGATGTGGCTGATGGTGAAAAGGCAAGAGAGAGTCCAACGAGAAGCGAGAGGTGTGAGGAGTGACCTTGCTGTCCTTGATGGTGAGCAGCACCCTGAGGCAACCGAGGTCACTGGCCCCTGTGGTCCAGTGGTGTCTGTGGACAGCACACATGGGTTTGCACCCTTCAAGTGGAAAGCGTGGGCCAGAAGGGGCGGCAAGAGCCAAACAGGCTCTCACAAACATGGGTGAAACTCTGAAAGCTGCAGGCTGTGGATTCACTCCTGTGGTGAAAACAGCCATTATCCTGGCTGACAGAAAAGACTTCCACGCTGTCAGCGAAATCTACAAACAGCACTTCACGAATAATTCTCCTGCACAAGATGCTTACCAGTTGCTGCTTGGCCCAAAGGAAGCTGTGTGGAGATGGAGCAGTGGCTGTCCCGAGACCACTCACAGCAATGTGGCTGAGGGGGCCCACTGTTCTTTCGTCTGGAATTTTAATGTTTAAAATTAAAACCTTGGGCCTCCCTGTTGTTGCAAGGGGTTAAGTCTCAGCACTATGAAACTATCGGCAGCCACTGCAATGTGAGTTCAATCCCTGGCCAAGGAGCTACCCAGATGGTGCGGCAGACCTCTCTTCTCGCCCTCTGCTCCCCTCAGCAGTGTACTTCAGTCAATCCACCTGTTCTGCTCCCCACTCTGTCTCTGGTGAATCCTTCCACTGCCCCCACCTCTGGCCTACACCCCAGCTCTTGTATGCATAAATAAATAAAATAAATCTTAAAAAAAAAAAAAAAGGAAGTTGAAGATGAGAGAATCAGTGCCAGTTACTGGGTGTGGGGAAAGATATGTTCAACACATCGTTCAATAAAGGAAAATAACATGCAGGAAAGATGAGTTACTACTCCTGATATGCAATAAAGAGCATACGTGACTCAGTTAAATCCTATTAATTTAATGATGTGAAATATTTAGTTCTCATATGTGATACATGTTTCTGCTTTTACTTGGGTAAAATCATTCAAGTTTGAATGACAAAGGTAAAGGAAGAGAAAGTGGATCAAAATTTTATCGCATAATAGTTTTCTAATGGAAATAAGATATTCAAATTTTTTAAATGCAAAATCATATAGCAAAAAGGACAAGAGTTTCATTTTCTGCTGTCTCATCAACACAACTTACCATGGAGGCTACACTAGACCAACAATTAAAGCCAAGAATTAACATCAATGCAAAAGGAAATGCAAGCTCCAATGTAAATTATGAAAAGTAATGAATCTTAAATAAGCAGGTAGCTGCCTGCCCACCCACTAAGCCTGGGATAAAGATGATTTCTATCAACAAGATTACAAACAGTAATTTTCAAACCTCAATATGGACATGGAATTGCCTGGGTACTAGTTAAAATTGCAGATTCCCAGGCTCAATCCTCCAATATTCTGATTCATTGGCTCTGTCGTGGCATTCCCAGAGCTACAAGGGTATTCTCATATAGAGTTCTAAGAATATACCTTTTGAAATACTGTGGGAGAAAAACAATCATTCCATCTCCTGGACACCTAAGTGTACCTCTTCTGGAGTGGTGTAACTAGTAGCATGTGCCCCAAGGATGGAATGCAGGCCGATTTTCAACTAGGACCAGATGTACCCTTTTCCTTCAGTAGACGCTTCTAAAAGCCAACACGGGCTGCTTTCAATCACTTAACCAAGTAACCCTGCCTTCCCCCTCCTATGGCAACTTCTGAAATCAGTGCTACCTTCACTCCTTATGCCAAAACTCTTCTCAATGTTATTAAAACACTGGAGAGGCTTGGGAGGCCTCCCTGGTGGCCTAGGGGTTAGGTCTCAGTGCTATCACCACTACGGCCTGAGTTCAATCCTGGCCAGCGGGCTGACCCATATGGCACAGCAGACCTCTCCTGTCTCACCCGCTGCATCAATCTGTGTAGCACATTCAGCCTCCTCCTTTCAGGGGCTTCACAGAATGTAGCTGACGGTGAAAAGGCAAGAGAGAGTCCAGCGAGAAATGAGAGGGGTGAGGAGTGACCTTGCTGTCCTTGATGGTGAGCAGCACCCTGAGGCAACCGAGGTCACTGGCCCCTGTGGTCCATGTGTTTCAGCCTTGTGTTTCATTGGATCTGCCTGTCGTGCTCGCCAATGTGTCTCTGGTAAATCCTCTCACCCTCTGCAACTCTGGACTATATGCTAATTCTGCCACAAACAAACAAACAAACAAACAAATAAATAAATAAAGCACACACGCAGCCTGGAGTCCTCCTGAGCATCGCTCACTGGGCTCTGCTCATTACCCCTCAGAGGCATCTTTTTTATCCTTCAAGGAAATACCTATCTAGAAATAAGCACCCCTTCTCTTGCTGCTTGCTTCTTCTGTTTTATTTCTCATCATGGCAATGAGTATTACTTGAGACTCCTTATCCGTTATATTAATTTATACCCTCCCACACCGGAATGCAAGCTCCATTATTCCTAGCTCTCCCAAGCTCTGTATTCCTAGCACCCAGAACTGCGCCTGTCATAGAATGGGTGCCCAATAAATGTTTGTAAATGAATAAAGCACCATTTCAGTGATACTCACTGGTTATGGAGCCTCTCATCCTGGGTGGCAATGCTTCTTTTTGGTGGCTACATTGTTCAGGAAAACTGGATCAGGTGCGAGCACAGAGTCACTAGGCCACCTGACATCCACTACGCCTGGTGACATGAGATTGTTCCCCCCAACTGAACTGCAACAGAGGTTTAAAGGTCCAACCTGCAGATGTTTCCAAATGACATACTCCATAGAATGATTTGGATTCTACTGAGAAGTCAAAACAATGCTGGCAAACACCAGTGTGAGAGTGGCAAGTTTCAACAAAAGCAGAGCGTAATATGTTGGCAACCAAGATCACTTCACTCTAATCTGCATTAGGTCAGCCAAACACTCTGTCAAGATCAGTTAACTCTCACTGCACACTTTAGTCTTTCACTTAGGACAGCAATGTCTTGTAAATAAGCACATACTCCACTAAGTGCTTTATGTTCATTGCTCTAATCCTCAAAACTATCCTACAAGTAGGTATTAGTCTCCCCATATTACAGATTAGAAAACTGAAGCTCCAAGAAGTTAAATAATCTGCAACTATAAAAAAGGAGCCCGGTGGAAACTGAATTCAAGTTTACTGGACTTCAAATTCTCATTTTTTTCACCTTAATGCCTTAATTCATAAGGCCCAGCCCAGCCCCATCTTCTAGCCCCTGCACTAGACCTGGCACACAGAAAACATTTGATAAATGTTTGCTGAATCCAGGAGGGTTTGGGATCCTTTAATCCAAACCCAAGAATCTGTCTGGGATCAAATTCTTTAGTTCCAACTTTTGTTTTAAAGACAAAAACTCCAGCACACTCAACTCTATTTGCATAATAAAGAGAATGGAAAATACAGCCTCCTCAGTTTAAAAAAAAATACTGGGTTTATTCTGAAATGGAACCTATCACAACCTCATTTATTACTATGGGAATGTGAATATAAAGCCAGTGAAATCTCAAAAGCCATGCTGCTTAGCATACTAAAAGGTAGGGCATGAAGTCAAATCTGAGTTCAAGTTTCAGCTAAATTTCAGTTATGTTTCAGTATAAAACTGTGATAAATATACCTGCCTTCCCATCTAAAAATCCAAATTTGATAATGACTATGAAAACTTCATAAGGGCCTCCCCTGGTGGCGCAGCAGTTGAGCACTGGGCTGCGAGGTTGCCCACAGCCTCTGCAGCGCCAGTTCGTTCCCCAGCAACCAGCAAGGGTCCCACAAAAAAAAAATTTAAAAAATTCATAAGTGCCTCCCCGGTAGCACAGCGATTAAAGACAGCGCCATCAAGCTATCGCCAGCCACTGCAGCATGAGTTCGATCCCCAGCCAGCCAGGGAGAAACTCACATGGAGCAGCAGACCTCTCCTGTCTCACCCACTGCTCCCCTCAGCAGTGTATTTCAGTAGATCTGCCTGTTTTGCTCCCCATTCTCTCTGGTGAATCCTCTCACACACACACACACCCCTACCACTGGCTTACAACCCAGTTCTTGTATGCATAAATAAATATATCGTTGGAAAAAGAAAAAACTTCCTAAGGGCCTCCCCGGTGATGCAGCAGGCTAAGCGCAGCGCTGTGAAGCTGTCTGCAGCCTCCACAGCACGGGTTGGATTCCCAGCCAGGGAGACACCCACATGGCGCGGCAGACCTCTCCTGTCTCGCCCGCTGCTCCCCTCAGCAGTGCTTGCAGTCCGTCTGCCTGTTCAGTTCCCCACTCTGTCTCTGGGTGAATCCTCTCACCCTCCCGCACCTCTGGCTTGTACCCCATCTCTTGTATAAATAAATAAAAAAAAGAAATAAAATTAAATTTTAAAAAAACTTCATAAACTGTAAAGTATCATACAAAAATAACTATTAGTATAATCTGCAGCTGATGATAATAAGGCCTGAAGAAAGACTTTGAACCTATAAGGTCAGCATTATTAAAAGTTCCTCCAGCATCTCCCTGGTGGCACAAGGGTTAAAGACACAGTGCGATCAAGCTATCACTGCCAGCCATTGCAGCATGAGTTCGATCCCCAGCCAGGGAGCTGACCCGCATGGTGCAGCAGACCACTCCCATCTCACCTACTGCTCCTCTCAGCAGCGTATTTCAGTAGATCCACCTGTTCTGCTCCCCACTCTGTCTTCTGGTGAATCCTCTCACCCCCTGCACCATGGCCTGCACCCATTCTTGTATGCATAAATAAACAAATCTTAAAAAAAAAAATAGAAGTCCCTCCATATCTGGAACATTGTAAAGGTAAAGATCTTAGACTCCAATTAGTTTACCCATAATAAAGAATGGATGTGGCTTACCCTTTATTAATCTTTCTGTGTCTAAGTCCTATCTCTCCAGTTGAACTATGAATTTCTAGAAGGCAGAGAACGAAGAAAAAAAGCATCAACATATTGTTTCTGTTTTGAGAAGGCTGCAACAATAGCCTCACCTGTGGTGAGGCAACTGGGCTTCTCTCATCCAGATAATAATGCCCTCCTTTCATGCTGGGACATTTAACTATTCAAAACAGTAGTCATCAGATCTATAAAGTGGGGTAATAAAGAGCCCAAATGATTTCTTCCAGCCATGAAAGCTATCTTAGGGACAGTCAATAAACACTTTCAGCATAAATCTATAAAATTGGCTTAGTCCTCCACAAGATAAAAGAGAAAATGCGCAGAATACAGAACAGGCTCTCACCAAGCCTTAATCAGTCCTAATTCAGCCACATAAAGTGACTGCATCAATGAGTTAGGGAAGGATTGATAAAATCTTTCTGTCGGGAAGTGTGGACATTTCCACATGGGCCTAGGGTCTTGGCTGAGGAGCTTAAGCCTGGGATAGTCATCCAATCGAGCTCTTGGGCTTCCAAAAATGCCCAGGGTACATCGACCCTCTGATCTCCCCCTTTCTTGGTCGCATGTGATCTCAAAAAGCCCTACAAGAATCCAAGGATAAAAGCAAAGGCAGAGGGGACCATGCAGGTGTAGACACGAATGGATTTCCCACAAAGGGCCAACAGAAATCTCCGATGAAAAGGACAGACCAAAGGGATGCTTCCCAAAGGATCTTGCAGTTTTAAAAAATGGACCTAATAATATGAAACATCATCTTTGAAACTGTCTCTGACCTTTTCCTCTAAATACAGGCTAGAGTAGGTATTTAATCAGGAAATACATGGTATTTATTATATTTAAGATGTATTTTGTTATGTTTAATGACCTTATTTCTGAGTTCCTTTCTCATTAAATTAGCTTTCATTTCTATTACTGCAGTGTTAATAAAATGAATAGGTTGTGCCAGTAAATAAAAATGATAAACAAAAAATCGTTTTAAAGCCAATGGGTATGGTAGGTGCACAAGTCGTTAAGGAGCCGTAGTGTGTATGTATATATGGTGTTATTTTAAATAATGATCAAAATAAGAAAATCTCATCATTAGGCTCATCAATTCCTTATTTTCAGTCCTCAAAGATTAATGATCACTGATGATCAAAACTCAGATTACAAAGACGAGCAGAATCTTGCAACACATTTTAACATGAGCATAGGATTCTTACAGGGCCATGTTGATGGCCCCCCGACCTTTCTCTCAACAACAAAACCCAACTACTCAGCTTCCACTAGTGATACAGATTCCACCCATCAAACGTTTTTAAGGAAAGAAGGTCACGTCAAAGAATTCTTTTTCCTGGTTCATTCAATTTCTGCATCTGTCTGTAGTTACATTCAAACCATACCAGAATCAAAATTTAATTTTACATCTGAAGTGCAGTGATCAGGGCTGTTAGAGTTTTAAAAAATACAAATGTACATAGTAGAAAATACAGTAACTATTAAACAGATTTAGAACAAAGTGGCTAACTCACAAGTAAGATTTATGAGGGCCCACTATAACTACAGATTAGATCTAAATTCCTGAGTCAGTCACTCAAAGCCCTGGCATGCTTTTTCCTTCCCCGGACAGACTGATCTACTCATTATTTCTGAAGACAAATTCCTTCACATTATGCCTTTGCCCAGACAATTCCCCTGGTGGAATGACCTTCTCCATCTCATCAAATCCGTTCAAGAAACAAATCAATGTCATCTCTTCAGTGAAACCCTCCCACACCCACTGACTAATAATCCTCCCCTTCGTGAGTACCTACTGCCATTTAGCATGGAAGCAGCTACTACACAGATACATGAGCTACTACTGTTCTCTTACACAGTAAATGCAGATGTATTTTTTGGTTTTACATCATTTTATTCCAACTATACTGGAAAACTCCTTATGATGCAGATCTATCATTTCTTTGTATTCCCTACAGCATACTGTTAAGAATACAAGTTATTGGGGCCTCCCTCGTGGCTCAAGGGGTTAAGCATCAGTACTATGAAGCTATCTGCAGCTACTGCAGCAGGAGTTCAAACCCTGGCCAGGAAGGTGACCCACATGGCATAGCAGACCTTTCCTGCCTCGCCCACTGCTCCCCTCAGCAGTGTATTTCAGTAGATCTGCCTGTTTGCTCCCCATTCTGTCTCTGGTGAAGCCTCTCACCCACCACACGTCTGACCTGTACTCCAGTTCTTGTATGCAAAAGTAAGTAAGTCTTTAAAGAAAAAGAATACAAGTTATTTAATAAAGATCTATTTGAGAAAAAAGTAAAAGAGGCAAGGTGAGGAAGTGTCATCTGGATATACCGAGTAAATAGTTAAAACTGAGCCCGTATCACTGAGATGAGTCCTTTGATGGTGTACAAGTTATATTTCCCAATGGTTTCCTATGAATTAAGATAAATAAAAACCCCACACAATGTGATCACTGCCTTCCTTTCCAACTTCATTTCCTACTGAGTTCTCCGACCATCCTCTATCCCTCTGCTCCTTACACACTGGCGGCCTTGGCTCAGCACACAGCCTCATCACCGCCTGTGATCTTTATACATGAGTTTCCTCTGTCTTCCCCCAGATCTTCCCACGGCTGCCACCTCCCTGTAACTGTCAGTTCAAATGTCACTTCCTCAAAAATGCCTTCCTGACAATCCAACCTAAGCTACCAGCCCCTCCTCCATTACTATAGACCGTATCAAACTTTTATCTTCCTCCACCTGAAATAACTGTTGATATGTTTACTCTCTCTCCCGACTAGTATATGTAAACTCCAGGATGGCAAGGATGTCTTGTTTGCCACTGTATCCCAGTGCCTAGAACACTAGCTGGCCTCGGAAGACAGTGAATAATAAAAACCAAAAAAAAAAAAAAATGTTCCCTTTCAGTTATTAACACTGCAGTTCTCAAGAGCAGGAACAGCATTTCCTGCCTCTTCACCAGACTAGAGGCACTTGAATCACTCAATAAATGTACAATGAATGAGGACAGAAAATCTTTTCTGGCACAGCTTCCAATTCCATCTCTCATTAAGTCAACAAATATTAAGTATCTACTATGAGCTAGGCACTAGATGAGGCCCCTTCTAATTTCTTACTTTTCTATTTATCATGTTCATCATTAATATTCTGAAAGGTCCAGCACTTATTTGGTCATAAACTAAAGAAGGCTTGAAAGACACTCTCCCTTTACCCCCCAACTAGTGACATTATTTTACTGACCAGTGAGATGGTTGGCAAGTAAGTGCAGCTACCTGCCTAAACTGTATAAACTCAATAGTGATGTTTTATGTCTATACCACACACAGCATCTCATTGTTAGTTACATGTCAATCTCTCACTTGGTATTGTTCTTCACGGAACACTGCTCAAGAATCAACTATAAAAGATTTTTTGAGAAATTGAGACATCTGAAGATGGACTAATATCATTTATTAGAAAGAAGATGTTTTTTAAGTCTGATAATGGTACGGTGGTTGCATATTACATTGCCCTTATTCCAGGAATCACACATCTGCAGCATATCAAATACTCAAGGAAAAAAATGGATATGCACACACACACACAAATATTTATAGCTTAAAGGTATAATATGACAAACAGTTAATGATTGAATATAGGCGAAAGATGGGAGTATTTATTAAGGCGACTTATTATTTTTCTATATGTTAGCAATTTTACATAAGAAGTTGGTGGGTAGGAAAAGATTTCTCTTAGAAGGGTAAGATGTGCATATTTCTAAGCTTTTACTACTAGGTTGGTTTTTAGTATAAGTTTTAACATATAATTAGACAAAATGTATCCAGAGAATACTATTGGACCCACAAACAACCACTAAAATGCAGGAAATAATAACAAAAGAGATAAGAACAGAGAAAAACTAGCCAAGACAAAGACAACTTCTAGTAGAGACCAGCTCCCTTCCTTAAGTCTTGCTCACAAGAGGGGACACCATATTTTGGAACCCCGCTTCTAGAAGGCAGCTGTTCAGCACAACACAAGGAAACCCAATCTTTCAGCCTTACCCTCCCAGGGAGACAGTCTATGATGGGAAACTAAACCACAGAATCTCTGTGACAATACATGTGAATAGGGCTTCTTAAGTACACAGTAGTTTGGAAATACAATTTGGTTTTTACTGTTGTTGTTACTTAAGAGAAAACTAAGAACTATAATCACGAGCACCAGTGTGATAACTGATTCAAGCAAAGCTCATCAGAGGATGCTCAAATCACTTGGTAGGAGCAGCAGATAGCCAGTGTCTCAAAGTCACCCTACAGATCACTTACCAAGGGGAGTAGGTCCCTTTACAGTGAAGAGACCAAACAAACCATCAACAATAATGGGATTATGTGCTTCTCATTTTAATGCAAGGGAAAGTGCACACATCTTCTTAGTAACATTTCTTACCAAAAAGGTTGACTCTGTGTCTAAGGCATGAGAAAACAATCCAACAAATTCAATTTATGGGACATTATGGCTGACCTGCAACTCTTTAAAAAGTGTGGCCTCCCTGGTGGTGCAAGGGGTTAAGACCCAACCTATGAAGCTATCTGCAGCCTCTGTAGCACGAGTTCGATCCCCAGCCAGGGAGCTACCCACAAGGCGCAGCAGACCTCTCCTGACTTGCCCACTGCCCCCCTCAACAGTGTATTTTAGTACATCTGCCTGGTCTCTTCCCCACTCTGTCGCTGGTGAATACTCTCACCACCCTCCCCCCCCACATCTCTCACCTGTACCCCAGTTCTTGCATGCATAAATTAAAAAAAAAATCTTTCTAAAATAAATTTTAAAAAAGCAAAAAGTGTTATTTAAGACACACAGAGAGAGAAATCAGAGTAGGGCTGTTCTAGATCAGAGGTCTTCAATCTGGGGCTTTCCTGGAGCACAGCCAAGCCCGCACAATTCTGTATTGTCTGTGGCTGCTTTTTACTTGCAAGAGACAATAGGACCCATAAAGCCAAAAATACTATCTGATCCTTACAGAAAAAGTTGACTGATCCCTGCTCTAGATTAAAAAGGACATGACAACCAAATGTAACAAGAGATCCTTAAAGTGTATTTTGAGGGGGGAGGGAAGGCAAAAAAGAACACTTATGGAATAAGTGGGATATCTGAATATAAACTAATATTGGACATGCTGTGTCAATGTTACATGCTCAAGTATTTGGAGATATTTATGACTTGCTTTCAAAGTCTGCAGCAAAAAAATCAGATAACAAATAGATAAAGCTGGGCCTCCCCGGTGGTGCAGCGGTAGAGTGCTGGGTTGCGAAGCTGCCCACAGCCTCTGCAGGGCTGATTCCATCCCCCGCCACCCCCGGCCACCGGGCGAGGGTACCACATGGCACCCCCGGCCACCGGGCGAGGGTACCACATGGCGCGCAGACATCTCCTGCCACCCGCTGCTCCCCTCAGCGGTGTACTTCATCAGTCTGCCTGCTCTGCTCTGCTCTCCACTCTGGCTCTGGTGAATTCTCTCACCCTCCCGCGCTTCTGACTGTACCCAGAGCTTGTATAAATAAATAAATCTTTAAAAAAAAAACACACACACACAAAAATAGATAAAGCAAATGTGCAGTGGTTCTCAAACTTCTGAACTCAGGGCTCTTTTACACTCTTAAAAAATTATTGAAGACTCAAAGGGCGTGTGTGTGTGTGTGTGTGTGTGTGTGTGTGTGTGAGATACATACACAATGCATACACTGATACATATGAAACATATATATTTGCCATGTAATAAATTTGATAAAATTTTAAAACATTTATTTTCAAAAAAGCTCATTATATACCAACATATTTATGAAAAATAACTACTTTATAAAAACAAAATTTTTAACAAGAAGACTTACACTGATTTCATACTTCGGTAAATCTGTTTAATGTCTGTTATACTGTCATATCTGCTTCTGCATGCAGGTCTTACAATATGGTATTTTGTTTGAAGTATATGAAGGAAATCCAACTTCATAGAACATGTATCTGAACAAGGAATAATATTTTAATAGCCTTTTAAGATGAGCCGAGCTAGTCTTCTTTGATACAACATCATAACGAGGAGTGGTAGTTTCTTTGCACCTGAGTTGCAATGTGAAGTCTGAAGCCATATAAACAAACTTCTCATATTCTATTAAAATCCACTGGTCTATTTTTACTTTGAATCTCTTACCCAAGCATGATTTTATAAAAGTATGCACTGTTTATTTGGAAAATACTGGTTTACGAAGTAAGCAGGCAGACATTCTAACTGTTGACACATATCGGTACACAATATTAAAAAAAATCACTTTTGTTAAAATAACCACTAATCCAAAAAGTCTTTAAGAACTGGGAAGCTGCCAACTTCACAATGGCAGATAAAAGTTATCCAAAAACGTGCCAAACACCCTAATCAGATACTTGGGTACCCGACAGGTACCTAAGGTACTAGGTCTTAGTACCTTGATACTAGGGCAAACACATCAATTATATCTACAGTTAAATGCACAAATAATTATACTAAGTATGATAAACATTATAAACACCTTAACTTTAATTCGGGTCAGATTTTGCCATGAAAAGAACTGTTTTTAGTTTCTAAGTGTTTTTTCGGTACTTGAAATTGATATAAAGAACGTGGACTCCTTGGGAATACATCCCACTCCTATTCAAGACGTTTCACCAGTCTAGGACCTATTTATGGTGTGGGTTTAGGTAGAGACTTTTGAGATTTTTAAGAGAATTATATATTCCACTGAAGATTTGGAAAACC